TAAATAAGGGAACTGGATTGTCACTTGAAAAAGGTTGTAGACAATTCTTGAAAGTTTTTTTACGTCCTTTTCACTTTTTTAAAAGTTTTTAACTTTTTTAAAAGATTAAAATCTTTTACCATAAAAGCTTCATTTAAGGAAAACTAATCAAGGCAACGAGTGGTAATATACTTTCTTTAGATAGATTACACGTGGACATTCGGTATCGAAAATCTCACTCACGAAAAGTAATTATTGACCATTAACCGAAAGGAGCGGTTATGGACCGGTTTGAATAGGGTTACCAGTCCCTAGTTCATTATATATGCTTTTTACACGGTGTTAAGTTTCATATATCTATCATAGTTTACAGTCCCGCCCATGGATGATTTTGCCTTATATCATGATTTATCAGACAGTCAATTCTATCACAGCAATACATAGGTTGTTGTTGTTGTTGTTGTTTTTTTTTTTTTTTTTTTTTTTCATTATTTCCGTTTTTCCTGACACGTTTTTCTTATAATCACAAATATAAAAAAATGCTTGTGTCCTTTTCCGATAAAGGGTGATCACTTCTTACTACATAGTTTTTACCCAGTAAATAACAGATTTGATTTGTGGTCATAAAGACTCAGCGCTATCCACTACTTGGCCTATTGGGAAAAATGGAAGAGCAAAAAATCACAAATTTCCATCTTACCAAGATGTTTTCCAGTTTAACGTCTCTGTGAACAATCCTCTGTACGTCATGAATGTACGCTAGAGCATCAGTGATTTCTTTCACCCACTGACAGGCAGTTCGAATGGCCTTACGTTTTGTTTCGGATTTCCCCGGAATTAACTCGTGGTTTTTAGAGATATAACTCCGTAAGTTGTCTTTGCAATACTCTAAAACCAGAACAATTCTCACGGAATTTTTTTCCCAAAGCAGCGACGTGCCATAAAACTTGACAACATGAGGGTGGCTCAATTTTCTAAAGACATAAAACAAATGAGTAAGAGAAGTTAATAGCAAAGCAAAATTTCTGATATGACCGAACGCTAAATAATACGCCAATTACAGTTCTATTTATTTGTTTATTTACTTATTAACCAGGACACCACAACAGGTAACGCCATCAGTGTGCTGTGGGACCGTATCCATGTGCCCCATGTGTATCTTTCTCCCCATGTAAGGGAATCCTGTTTCCGCAATCTTGGAAAACTTGGCTTGCGGAATCCGGAATCCTGGGCATTGGAATCCGGAATACAGCCGTAGAAATCTAAAATCCCACTAACAATTGGAATCCGGAATCCAAGTTCCACTGAAAAAGATCTGGAATCCAGTAATTGGACTCTGGAATCCACAGCGTGGAATCCAAAATCCAAGACTGTCTTGGATTCCCTCACATGGGGCGATATCTTGGCGGTAACCAATGGTAGACCACACCAACCCAAGGGCACTGAGTTTTTCAGGTCCCTACTGACATCTGGAAGAATATTCCGTTAACTGACTGATCTCAATCACCAGGATATTGGCACTCCATCAACATTAGTTGAGCTAACCGGTTCGTCGCCTTATCCATTTCTCGGCAGAAAAGCCTTAAAGTTAGTTCCATTTTAGTTAATAATAGTTCTTCATGAACCCATACGAGCTAGAAGCAAAAGGAAAATTAGGCGTTTTGGATGAAGGTCAGTTACTTAAAAAAGTGTCCAACGTCCCGATATGCTACCATTTTGAGTGTCTTTGTCTACTTTGTCCTTTATTCTCTAAAAGAGATCTGAGTTTAAATCTGAATTTAGTTCTTTAAGTGTTTTCGTGTTTTTAATCAAAGTTATATAACTTTAAAATTTCATGTAATCTCATTACACGTTATTTACCTCACAATGGCAGGATCCGATTACTAATACTGGATCTATCTTTAGCTTAATGTTTTCTGTCTGTTGATCGTTACTGAACAAACAAATTACTGTATAGGATAGCTCTCACCTTAAAATTTGAACTTCAGACATAAAAAGGCTTGCATTGTTTTTGGCATCAAGAACATCGTTGTACATTTTTAGTGCCACTACGGTGTAAACGTCTTCATTTCGTTTCATATTTCCCTTGTACACAACGCCAAATGCACCACAGCCGAGACGGGAAGAAGTATCCTCTTTCCAGTTCAGATTATCAGTACTGATATCAGTGGCTCGAACTTCTTTGAACCCATATTCTGCCAGACGCCCTCTGAGGTGAGAACCTTCATCAATTATTGGCTGGTAGCGCTCTGATATCTCTTTCGGTGAGCGTGTCTCGGCAACATATTGGTTGCGTAGCATCTTGCCTTCCTCTATCAATTCTGGTAGACGTGCTTCAATCTGCTTGAGGAACAATTTGGCGTCTTTCATTTGTTCCTTCGCGAGAAGCTCCAGGTATTTTTCCTCTCTAGAATCTTCAAGATACTTTTTCGATACTTTTCTCAAGTAAGCACACTTATCGCCCTCGTAATCCTTAACGTTTTTTCTTTCCTGCAACTTCGTTTTAGCTGCCGCGAAAGCAAGAACAGGAGCAGTGATTATCAGAGCAACTAAGCCAACTGGAATCCAGATTGGGCTAGTGAATCCAATGAATATTTTTGCTGCCAGTCGGATGTCTTGGTCTTCAAGAAGCTCGTCCAGATTTTCTGAATCAACATCAGTTGTGATGGCAATCTCGAGATTCCGCAACTGTCCTTCAAAAAAATTGAAGAGACCTTGAACGTGTTCCACGAGGGACTTGTAAGCATTTGCAAACACTTTATTATCTTCTTCCCATTGCTGTATGAATTCTCCCAGCCGCTTTGATAGCAGGTTCTTTATTTCCTGTACTGTATCGTCCCAGTTGCCTTCTGGTCCTGGCACTTCATTTGATGTCCATGACGTAAAGCGAGCCTTAACTTCTTCAGATGAGAGGTACGCGGATAGTTTCTTCAAAGCACCATGCTCAAGTGTCCTCTGAAATTGATGAAGGCCTGCAACTGCTTCCATTTGTTTTTTCTCAAACGCCTCTAAAAACTGATCAATTCTACGCGTCTTTTCGTACAATTGGCTGCGATTTCTGGAGGCACTCTTCATGGATGCTTTTGCGTGATTAATGATTCGTTGAATAACACGATCCAACCATCTAAATGATGAAAGAACTAATTCAACAAAGGTTATTCGGAAGGGTGGTTTTACTGACAACCATTTATAGGTTAAACAAGTATGTGCAACCCTAAAGGGCAGACCAGGGTTTGGTTTATTGCGATCAGCCGTCCTCGTGGCCCTATTCAAGACCAAAACATGATGTTTCCGACACTCGTTTTAGCCTCCTAAATTCATATGATACATATCCCCTTCCAGACTTGGCTTCCGAAATTTGGATTCGGTTTGTAATATAAATACCATTCTCACACTCATTAATAATTCATAGAGAGAAAACAAAGAAAATCACAACCGTGACGGTGGTTTGGATATCGGTTATCAATCACCATAAAATTTTGGGAACTTTATCTATGAATTTCTCCAAGAATTATTATTCATTTGAGAAGCTATATCAAAAACTTCACTCAGCGTTTCATCCGATCTCCAGACACCTCGAAGTCGGTCTTAAAAAACTCGGCAGAGCCTCGTTTTTTAAACTAGTTTTTCCTTTGGAGACGTATTACACCCGATTTCCAGAAGTTTTATTGGGCAAAATGTAGTATTCTTTTTTTGGACCAAAGCAGCCGGCCAGGATGAAAGCAGGATAGCAACCACGGCAAGAAAACCCTCATTTACCAGTAATTTTACAAAACGGTAAATCCTAGAAAATTCGGCATTCACCATCTGTTTTCCCACTCCTGAGAACATCCCGAAAATTACTAATTTTCCTTGTGTGAATCCAAGGAAAATTGGGAGTTAACCTGGCGTTTTCCTGCACCTCGATCTACCGAGCCGTTTTCTGCAACCCGTATACCGACTTCTGGTCACTTCCACTGCGTGAAAATGAAAATATTCGGAGATGTTCGAGTTTAGAATACGTGATCATGACTCCCTAGAATCCTGAGGTTTTCAAGGAGCACAACTCACGTGAAGTATACTGAAATATTCAGCTCGAATACACCCTAATATCCTTTGTTGAGTGTCATTCGTAGATTTCCCGAAACGAACACTTCACAAATTTCATCGGCCAGTTATTGATGGTAACAATTTGTCCGTTATGATGAAAAAGATTGAAAACCGTTTTTAATATTACTTGATGTGGGTGGTTTCAAGAGTCTTCAAACGGTCCTTTATTTATTTCTGGGGAGAAATCATCTTCCTAGGGTTTTTAAACGTTTCTTGAGTGTTCATATTAAATTGCGAGAAATTTAACTTGGCACACCGAGATCGGCAAATATGTTAAATATTTGCATTTAAAATTCTTTTAGATGCAGTGACATAAATTGATTTGAAGCTAGTCCATGTTATAATTATATAACATCCATACAAAAAAAAAATGAAAACAAACGGAACACTCTATCCACTCCCCGACCTACGTGGCGGCGCAACTCACCAATTTCGCCACCGGCGACCTTCCAGACTACAAATGCTGCGATTTTGTTTGCCTTTTAGTTAGTGAATGCGTTACCTTGAGTAAAGTGCACGTCCGTTTATCTGTTGTAAACCTCGGTGGGCCTTGACGTAATCCACTTTTTTTGGCTCCCTTAAATACTCTCGATTACATTTTACGACTAATTTTTATTGCTCCTTAAAAATTCTTTACTACGAAATACGTTTCTCTCAGAACCTCAGGGAGGTAAGGGAAAGGTCAACCGGAGGACATAACAGGATAAGGCTAGGTAAAAAACCTTGTAAAAATTAGGCACGTGTAGCCTGATACATACTTACCTCCAATGAATTTCCAGCCTGGATCCAATGCTCTTTAACACCATAAACCTCAGGCCTTTCATCAAAGTGCAAAACTCCTCCTTAATTAACCCGCGGTCTTGAGCTTTACTGGCTTTCGTTGTTGACATATATATGACCTGTGACTCGGGATCAACACCAGGCCAGCATACTTATAGTTTTTTGATCACATGATTCTTGACCTTATCTGCCTCCTTCTCCGGGACTTGGTCCCACTTGTTACACACAAATAATGCAGATTCGACAGGCACTTCACCCTGGCATTGAAGTGAGACTTTTCTAACCTCCTCCAGTAATTTTTGAAGCTGCAATAGCATTTGTATATATCATCAAAGGATTTCGGCAAGGATTCTAAGAATTTGCTCAACTTTACTACGCGCATTTTAATTGATTACCACTGACCGCTTTTGATTAAATGAAAGGCGCTTGTCTTCTGTCTTCTTCTGTGCGATGTTTCACAAAAATCTGTAAGAGGAATTTCGAGATATCTTTGACTTTCTACAAAAAAGGTAAAAATTATGCATGAACTGAAGGCTGGACTTAACGCAGACAAATTTGCTATTTTTTTCACATTAATTGACTTGAATGCACTGAAACTGTTTCCCGTCGTCTGTTGCTACGGAAGGCAAGAATGGACTTGGGCTTTTCTCAGGGTTTTATTCCAGTGCAAAATTGCCAAAAACATAATATGGTTAGTGCTAAGACTCTAATGAAATTTGTTTAATATCTTTTTCATTACTCAACACTCAACAGGAGTATTTTGTGCCCGGGGGGGTACTCCCTTATATAAGCCACATAGGTATCTGCCACCCCATCGGGTAGAGTTTTTGCGCCGTTTTGGTCTGAAAACGGGTATACATTTTGGTCTTGAATCGGGTATGGTTTTTCGAGGGAACTACGGAGTGTATGAACGTATTTATCGTTTCAATTCCAAATGAGTTAAAAAGAAAGAGAAATATGAGAATTCGAGGTCTAGTCTGAAAACGATTGTGCAAAATTACATTTTTTGGTATGAAATCGGGTCAGGATATGAAGAACCGGGCGGCACACCCCCACCAAGAATTCCCAGGAGTACCCCCCGGGGGCTTTGTGTGTAGTAAGGCACTTAGTTCATGACTTCAGCACAGAATTGACCTTTTACAGCAATTTCCTTATGAAATAGCCCCTTTAAGAACAGCTACTAAAAGATTATAGTTTACTATACGATACTTGCCCTATCCTTCTGAATTCCGCCTGCATTTGCACTGTTAATGACATAGATAAAAGCAAACGCTTGGGGTAGATAGTGTGTGACTGTCGCGTCCATAATATCAGACTCGCCAACTCCAGGACTGTCAATTATAACAATTCCTTTCTGAAATAGAAAAAATTTCAAATTTTTACCTCATTCAATGCAAATAGAGCTCACCAACTTAGTGATAAGACTGATTTTAAAATCATGTCTCAGATTGTTTGCTTAAAACTGTGTCGCTGTATATGTCACCGAGTACGTAATAGCTATTATTATATGTACAAAATATTTCATACTCCGTTTCAGATCGGCTCCAACCCCTGCTTACAGCAATGCTCCGTCACGCGTGACCAGTAAATTCCGACAATTCCGACAACGTTTTAAGTTTCGTTAACCATATTTGGGTGTTTTGGTGTGATCTGGGAAATACGGAAGGAAATTACAAAACCCGTCGAAAGATTTGAGGATTTAAGAGGCCCTGCGCCTAAGAAACGACCGATGATTTCCGGCTAAAAAATAAAATCGGCCGATTTTTATCTCCCAAGTAGAGGTTACCGAATACTTTTCAAAAATGAATTTCTTTTGTTTCAGTTTCGCTTTAAACCAAAAATATCGAGCCGCAAACTTTTTCCGTCTGATAGCAGCAAAATCAGGCCTAAAATAAGCTCTCGCAAAAAAACGGTTCAGAAATCACTATCGCGACGCAAAACAACGAGAAAACCACACAGTGATGAAGAAAAAGGCCTTTTAATGCAATATCATTCGATAAACACCGAAAAACTGCCGAAGGGAATAAAAAATAAATTTTCAAATATTGCATATTAAATTAGATGGAGTGTTGGAGCTGATTTTAAAATAATAATTTCTTAAAAGTCCAACGCTGCTGAAAGCAATCACAGTGATGAATCAGACATTGGAGGGATATACATCACGTTTTCGGAAAAACATTTTTCGGCCAAAGTATACTGACGTTGTAAAAACCGTTCAAAGTTACCGTATTTACCGTTAAGTTGCCACTTCGGCGAAACACTTCTCTGTTGCCAATATGGCCAAGGATAGCGTGGTAAACGCCACTTTAAGCCTTGCTAGGCGCTCAAAACCATCCTAAATAGAAGTATATAGAATTTAAAGAGAAAGGAAATGAAAGATTCGCAGAAAAAGAGAATAACTCGAAATTACCATCTGCTAAGGAGAGTTGAATCTTGGAAATGTCGTCGCGTGACAGCGTTCATTTGTCCGAACTGCAGCGGGATCCAAACAAATACGTGAAAAATAAGTTAAAAAAAACAGTCTTTTTATCACCAGAAATCGTGAATGAGACAGTTTGATGTTTTTCCTATTAATGATGATGAATTCAGCCTCAGCTAGTCTCCAAGTACTTTGAATGTGCGTTGCTTGTATTTCGTTACATACATTCCAACGGACGTTACGGGTTAGCGCGTGTAGGGGTCAGCGGACCTGAAGAAAGGTGACGAAGTTGCGCCATGCTAGGGGGGACATTGGTAGGTACCCAATACCGACAATAAATGTGGTATCGGTATTTCGTCGATTTTTGACACGGTATTTCGGTATTTACCAATTTTTCTCACGGTATTGCGGTATTTAATCAATTTAATTTAATTTTGGGAGGAAACGTGAGACGGCCTCGAATTGATCGGTACAACGAACGAAAAAGATACCCTACCAATTTCATCACAGATTATCTGTCAGAAATTGTGTAATGGTAATCATTTACCATTAATCTAAAGTCTTAAAAATACTGACGTGCATTAAACTAGACTGCGTAGCAGGCGCTTGGAAGTAGTGGGCACGAGAGAGAACGAGCGCGCGCGAGGGAGGCACGCGGGGGGTCATCTAAACCGTGCCTGCTACGCAGGCTAGCATTAAACAGGAGAGGGCAATGAACGGTACCGCAATACCGTGATCTTCTTTTACCGAATACCGTTAACCAAAAGGAAGAAATACCGCATACCGCAGGGCTAAATATAAATGATACCGCAATACCCCACTTTAAAATCCAAATTACCGAAATACCGCTTGCAAAAAAGCGTAAGCGCGCATTTCCCCCTCCATGCTGTTGAAGAGGTGATAGAATATTTGGGCTTAAAACATCCAATTATATTTGATGTTTACAATCTTTGTCATAATTATCACTGCAACAAACTTTCATCTTTCAATGTTGGTGTTGAAAGACATGTGTGGTTATTTCGAAATACCTTACAAATCTACAGATCTAAAAAGAGACCTTCTAGCCAAGGTTTCAGTGTAAAGCCGTGAATGTGACTGAGTGCAGCAAAAAATAATTTCATACTGTAACTTTCCTGCGCAAGAGTTTGAGTGCATGGTATGCTGTCCAATCGGTAATGTGACAAGTTGTGCGTTGTGCATTGGTTATCATCTAAATATCATAAATATTATTGTGGAAACAAATTATGAAGCATATTATAAAATGAAGTTGCAAAATTTGTGAGGCAGTTTCATCGATTTAAAAGTCCTACCGGTCTCCTATATTTTTTTATGATGTCCTCCCCAATATTTGGGTGACCCTATTCGGCGGAATGGCAGAATACATGCAATCAGTTGTAAAATACGGAATATACGTAATACTCTAAAACACGGAATTTACAGAATATTCTGTATTTGATTTGAACTGGACGGACGAAAAAGCAGAGGCAATATTAAAAATTCAATTTTCGTACTGCCGTAAGCCACACTATAGACCTTATGACGGTTTTGAAAGCCATCTTGACGGGTGAAGGGTCCGGTATCACGGGAATCTAATGTCGGATAAGTTTCATAAAACGGCTGTTCTAAAAAAAAAGAATTGTAAACTTAAGCTTGACAGGATTGTACTACCAATTAATGGGGGCCGCTACTGTGCCTAAATTTGTCCGGTCGCCTGCTTTAGATTTTCCAGAGTCTTCAAAGTCTTCAAAGGAATGATCTCTTCTTCAAATTTTGTGGAGATTGCTCGGTTGGTCGTTCTGGCTAGGAAGGATCCAGGGACAACAAGCCCGTTTCCAGTCTCCTTGATCCATTACCTTAATCGACTTGCACTTTGTTTTGACTGCGAGCTTTTTTAAGAAAGGTGAATATAAGGAAGGAAAGTTCCATCGACAAAGTGCCCAACAAGTTTCAAGGTAAGTCCCTCGCGTTAACTGAGCATTCACCGTCAGTATTTGTTACAGCTACAGTTTCAAATGTTGTTCGTTTTTAAATAAATATCAAAGTTATTTTTTTAACATTTGGCTGTTTCTCAAAAAAGAAATAAGCGCCCTGTCCCGAATAAGCGTCCTCCCTAGAGGCACCAAAAGTAAATAAGCGCCTGGGCGCTAAATCGAATCATTACGGTAAGCCAATTCTTTTACTTGTCACGCGCTTAAAACATGGTTCGAGTTAATGAGGGTAAAATTATATAGAAATGATCTGAAGAGAAACAAAAATTAGGATTACTTCGAGTCAGCACGAGGTTCGAGTCAGTAGCGAGGGTTCGAGTTATTGGAGTCGACTGTATACATGTATACCCTTTTTAAACGATTTTTCTCTTATTCTGCGTTTTAGAGTATTCCGTATATTCCGTATTTTAGAATATTCCCTGTATTCCATCATTCCGTTCCGTCATTCCTTCAGTCCGCCATTCCACCGAATAGCGTCACCCCCGATATTTTCATGTCCAAGAAAATACTAAACGCGAGGCTAATCATTGTGCCAAGAATTGAATCTGTTAGCTACATTTTAAAGCGCCAGATAATAGTCCTTTGAGAAAAAAAAACCGTAATTCTTGGGCGTAATGGACTCAGTTTTTGGGACTAAGATGTTCCTCGTTCTCGGGAGCAACAGTACTCCAATATCTCTCTCCTTTTTTCCTTGAAGGAAGACATTGGACATTGACATGAATGATTCTAGCCCGAAAAAAAAACGTGGGATCAGATTTCTTTCAATAGACCGCTGACCAAAAGCGTCGACACGTGACCCCACAACGATCAGATCACGCTGAGGCCAAAACGGTGCGGCGGTTCGGGAATTTTTTCTTTTGAAGTCACCATCGCTTGTGAAAAAATAACATTACTGTAACATTGTTTCGCTAAGTGCTTTCTGGCCGGGAAAAAGTTGTGCATTCGTTTAGATTCAGCCGCAGTTTAGACAAATGACGTCATTGGCCGCTGTCACGCGACGACATTTTCCAGATTCAAGTTTCGTCAGCAGATGGTAATTTCGAGTTCTTTTCTTCTTTTGCCTATTTTTCATCTTCCTTTCTCTTTTAATTCTACGTCCTTCTACTTACGATGGTCTCTGAACGCCTAGCAAGGATTAAAGTGGCGTTTACCACGCTATCCACGGCCGTATTGGCAACAGAGAAGTGTTTCGCCGAAGTAGCAAGATAACGGTAAACATTGCAACTTTGAACGCTTTGTACAACGTCAATATGCTTTGTCCGAAAAATGTTTTTCCAGAATCGTAATCTATATCCCTCCAATGTCTCATTCATCACTGTGATTGCTTTCAACAGCATTGGACTTTTGAGAAATAATTATTTTAAAATCGGCTCCAACGCTCCATCTAATTTAATATGCAATATTTGAAAATTTATTTTTTATTCCCTTCGGCAGTTTTTCGATGTTTATCGAATGATATTGCATTAAAAGGCCTTTTTCTTTATCACTGTGTGGTTTTCTCGTTGTTTTGCGTCGCGATAGTGATTTCTGAACCGTTTTTTGCGAGAGCTTATTTTAGGCCTGATTTTGCTGCTATCAGACGGAAAAAGTTTGCGGCTCGATATTTTTGGTTTAAAGCGAAACTGAAACAAAAGAAATTCATTTTTGAATAGTATTCGGTAACCTTTACTTGGGAGATAAAAATCAGCCGATTTTATTTTTTAGCCGGAAATCATCGGTCGTTTCTTAGGCGCAGGGCCTCTTAAACACGGACTTTCGCAATGTTCTGACCTGTTGGTTGTAACGCTTTAGATCGAGAATTCAGGCCAGGTAAACCTCTCAGTACGGAAATCAGAAGACGGATAGTTGATTTGTACGAGAGGGACCGAAGGAAATCTCACCAACAGTTCGTGTTACTTATGGCGGAGTGTGTCGCATCATTCGTCATTATCAAACGTACGGCACATATTTTCCCCTTAGTCAAGAAGGACGAAGAAATCCTTCTCAACTTTCAGACAACGTTCTAGAATCCATAGAATTGTTCAATCTAATGAAACCTAGCATGTTTGGAAGGGAAATACGCGAAAGGTTGTTGAAAGATGGCGTGTGCGATGGGAGAAACTTGCCGGTTTTATCGACTGTAAACAAGGGAATAAAGATCAAGCTCCCCATAATAAATAAATACTCGATAAAACAGAGGTTACATCCGTCGCTATTTCTTCAGTATTTCCACAAGTATCGAACTTTCCATCTCTAATTTTAAGATTTTTTCCTGGAATTCTACATTTCAACGAAATCTCCAAAGTTTCAATGTGATCTTCGCTACGCCACTCAAAGGAGAGCGTTTATTGGAAGACTCGGATCACGTGTTCAGTTTACTGGTCAAGCGTGACGGAGCATCGCTGTAATTCTTCACAACCAGCGAGCGTTGATCAAATTGGAAATACGTCTGAGTTATCCGGTTAGTAACATCAAGAGTGCAGGATAACGCAAGAAAATGGGAGGGCAGCCAAGAAGACCTGAGGACAAGATTGCGTTAGCTCATCTGTTTTGATAGAGACGGAGAAATAGCAGAAAATTTCACTCTCTTTGCGAAGAAGAAAAGAACATAGCAAAACAGCAAAAATACACCTTGACCAAGAGAGGATAAAGGGGACAGAGAAGGCATCCCCCATACACACCCTACTCCACAGGTAATTCGTCTCGAGTTATTTTTAACACCACAGATCTCAAGGGGGATTAGACAACAGCCAATCACATAGCGCGAATATGTTCCGCGTGGATGACCCACGCTCAGAGGCACGCGTCCTTCACGAATTGACGCAGAACAAAATGGCGGAAGACGCGGAGAGCGATATTGCTATTCGTTTTGTCGACGAAAACGACTACAGAGAGATTTCTGCTAAAGCTGTGTCAGCGAAACGGAAATTAAAAAAGAATCGCCCTTTCTCCCATATATACAGCTAACAGTACAGCAGGGAAATCCTTAACACACTGAATAATTATTCTCTCAGGATCATTTATAATTTACAGTTTGAAGAGAGCAATTTATGGTTTGATATTTATTCTTTTATTAGCTTTTATTATTCAACAAAAATAACACTTGGCGTCCTTCTTTTTTTTTTTTTTTTTTTTTTTTTTATTTTTTTTATTTTTTTTTTTATTTGCTTTACTTAACCCAATAATTAAAATATTGAACACTGCTTACACTGCTTACATTATTTACAACATTCATACCATACTTACAATACTGACAATACTTATTGCTTACATTGCTAACAATACTACTGTTTTCAAACATTATTACATTTCGTATGCTTCAAGTACACAGTTGCATCGGAAGAAACTTATTTAAGGATAGTTGGCGTTATTGAGGCAGGATAAGCTACGGATGAAAGACATAGAGAATATCAGGGGGCGTTGGGAATAGCGCCATGGTAGAAACGATAGTTTCTACGTGATGTCGTGTAGGAATGACCATTGTTTGGGCAGAACATTGTTTGCTTCTGCTTGTGCTTGTATGTTGTAAATTGTCTTTAGGTGTTTGAGAAATCCTTGCAATAGAGGTATAGCTTCTTTTGTTTTGCAGAGCCAGATATAGTGCCTGGCAATAAGAAAACAAAAGTTGATCTGGCGTTGAAGTTTAGAAGAGTCTGATCTCAGGCCTAGTGAAACAGTCATGTCTGCAGAGTAACTATCGGGAATAATTTGGCAAAGTTTTAATCGCGTTATGATGCTCTCCCAGAAGAGCGCCGTTTTGGGGCAGGACCAGAAAAGGTGTCCTGTCCTTGGCGTCCTTCTTGCTTTATTGTACAAACGACCGGTTTCAATAGACCGGCGAAATTTCTCATTTCATTAAAGCACTGAGGTTACCACTACTTGGAGTTAAACTGATTTCACGGGTTGTCAAAGAGTCCAGCGATTCCCATTTCCCAGGTGAGCGCCGACTCATTTCGCTTCAATATTGCTCTCGATCTCTTTACGCTTTCATTGCCTTTCGCCCGACATGTTTTACACGGCGTTTAGTCGTGCGAAACCTCCACGAAACATCCACGCAGCGCGCGAGGTAACTTTATCCCGATTCTAAAAATAACTCGAGACGAATTACCTATGGAATAGGGTGTGTATGGGGGATGCCTTCTCTGTCCCCTTTATCCTCTCTTGACCTTGACGGATGACAACCGCCATTTGAAGAATGTCTGCTCGTCATCATTATTGTTATTATTAACATCACCATTAAATATATTGTCATCAAATCAACGTATTGCCCTCCTTCTTTCTCAATTTTAAAGGTTAAATTTTGCACTTAAGATGAGACTTAGTAGAGCAAAAAATAAAATGAGCCTCAAACTGTGACTTGATAATTACATATGCCGCGTCTACCTTCAGTAAACTGTGAGGCCAAAAGAGCTCAATCTTCTTGAAATTTGATCCCATTTCGCGATCGTTCTCCACGTTAACATAAGGAGAAATTTGTTGAAGGTAGCCTTCTTCGCACTCCTTTAACTGAATAACCTTTGTTGGCAGGCCTGTTTCAGGATCCTTGTCTTTAAAGTGAGCGACGATTTTACGTTCCTCCCCAAACTTAACTTCACAAATGGTTGACGTTGTGCTAAGAACCGAATATGGAAGAAGCTCTTCTCCCAGAATAAGATTTATCAAGCTACTTTTTCCAGACCCTGTCTCTCCTGCAAAGGTATAAAGTTATCAGTATTCAATTTCGGATCACTAAAAAACTATCGTATTGCACGTAGAACTGAAGAAAAACCTATTCTAAGGACTATATAAAACTGATTACGTCTCAGAATATATCCACAGTACTAGCATCCGCCATGATCCTTCCGAGATCAACTAGAGACTGAATCTCTATATTATATTGTAATTCAACATTTTGTTGTATTTTTTGCTGTCAGTAAGGAAATAAAAGCAGCAAACATTTCTATACGGATTTATGAAAAAAGGGTTAATGAAAAACAGTTTGTATAATTTCGCTCAACTTTTTCGAGGTGTTCCTCTGTCTTAGCATGTTTATAGTGTCGTTTATTCGAGCGAATTTATTATCACCTTGAAATGAAAACGCGCGAACAGAACAAAAACAACAAACGAACTGAAATAGAGCGATTGGATTGGTTTATCGAACGGATACGAACCGGCGTGCCTTTTGATTGGTTAAGCGAATGCTCGGGGGGAAAAACATTACGTCCGAGGACTTTTCAGAAATTAATCGATACTTCGCTTTGACGTCATGCTGCAACACGATTGGCCAATTGAACAATGCCATATTAGGGTTTTCTTTGGCGGGGAAAAGAAGAGGCCATGTTTTGATCTTTTCATCCATTGGCTGATAAAACAAAGAACGAACACTTACTGCAACCAGTTTTCAAGGTCATACGAAAATCGCTCTAATGGCGCATCCCTTCTTCGTTGTTTCGTGTTTTGGGATTTGTGTAGAGGTGGCTGTAGACAGCTTCGAGTAGGGACTTGGCACTAAGCGTTTTCTAGAATTTCACTTCAACAGCGACAAAGAATAAAGAACGACGCGCAAAAAGATGTCGATATTTAAAAAGTTTTATGTATAAAGAAAATAATTTTTTTTTCTCAAAACCGCTGAATGAATGATTCACAATATGTTTTCCTTGTACAATTATCTGCACCTTTTTTCTCTACCAGATCTCTTCATAGATGACTTCGAAAATTGTTGTCCTTTACAGCTTACGGCTGAGAGTGAAAAATTCGTTTTTTTTCTAGAACATATAGAATTTAGTCATACATGTGACCCGGCAATAATCAACCAACAGCGGTCCCTGCTTATTTGAGTGAAAGTCTAGGCATACGTTGTAAAACAATATGCTCTCTAAGATTTTTGTATGTGTTGCACATGACGAAGCTTAATAAGATAAAATTAATTACGATCAATCACGCAAGGTTGTTCGTTCTTGTTTACCTGCCACAAGCACAAAGTATTCCTTTCGTGTCAGTTGCAGTTTGTGATGTTCAATATTGGCGACATGAAAATGGTTGGAGTCTAGTTTATTCAACAATCCCTCGACTTCAGTGAGAAGACTGAGTAAGCTTGTTCTTTTTCTTACTTCGTCATCTTGTACATCTGACAGAACAGAAAAGGCCTGCGAAAAGAAGTAAGGACTCATATAGTCGAAGACTCTAAAGAACTCAACTGCAACTGAACTATTTATTATTAACTAATTTTAGTCAACGAAGAAAATGCTAAAGAAATGTAGCATTGCTAAAGTGGTAGCAAAAGTTATGTACTGGATGATATTAAAAAAACAAAATGTTTCGGACAATTCGGATTTGAATGTTTTGGGGTCATATGCTTTGATTTGTGATTCAGATTAGAGATTGAAAGTAATTTGCTTTATTGCGTCGAGGTATGAGATTGCAACCCCTAATTTGTGTTGGGTGTTCTGTGCATTATTGGGTGTCCTGTGCAATTGATAAGGGAGACTTTTTTGAGATTGCATTTTCGTCGTCGACACACATTTGCCTCGCTTTGAGGCGCTTGCTTACGATTTGCCTCACTCTGACGCGCTAACTCGCGTGGTGATTCTTGTGTCCGCGGCGTTCATCTTTCAAAGCGGTTTGCTAAGGTCTCATATTCTTCGTAAAGCGTTCATCTTTTAAAAAGTTTGCTGAATCTTCGTAAAGCGTACATCGATCTGTGTTTGCTGAATCGTCCAAAGCATTCATCTTTCAGAAATTTGCTGTTAAATTTTACTTTGGATTAAGCCTTCATATTTTTCAGCATGGTTCGTCACTGTCTTTGGAAAATGTCTCCGATTCCTGGTGCATGCATCAAACCGGGTTTAGTTCGGCGGCCGTTGTACCACTAGACTACGAACAGTCTCTTATTTTTATTTGCAAAGTTACTCCACGCGAAACCTAAACACGCGAGCAGTAAAGCCACGAGCCGCAAGAAACGAGGGCGTAAGCCCGAGAAGAAAAAATCTCATTTCCTTTAGTAGTAATAACGTCGTGGTTTGCAATCGCGCTGGATGAGATAAGAACTAGACGGATTGAAAAGAGAAAAGACGGACTGCAAGCAGTCTATTGTACCACAAGGTAAATTTACCGAGTTGTGTAGCTAGGCGGCCAATGTGTCACAAAGTAAATCTACCGAGTTGTGTAGCTCTGCAACCGTTGTGCCACAAAGTAAATCTACCGAGATGTGAAGCTCGGCGGCGCCATTTGATCATGACTTGTGATATTTTCGGTACTGGACAAACGAACACTTTAACTCTATGTTATTTATTAGGAAAAACTTATAAACCATCCTACAGTAGCGCCACTCTCGTGTCACTGAAATCAACACGCTCGACCAAATTACTGGAAAAGTTATTGACGTGAGCTACACATACATTCCATTGAAGGCTTTGACAGGGTTTGTGCGAAGTTTGAATTCATGTGAAAGCTTTTAAAACAGTCAATTCAATTTAATTCATTTTGTCAACAAGTTGATGATTGGATGCTCTTAAAAATTACAGACAAAATTATCCGAAGAAACGTTTTTAAAGAAAGAAAAAGAATCCCGGGTTTAGCACTAATCGGCCTTTGAGCAACTGCGCCCTGTAATCACGCCAGTAAAACAAAATGTTCCATTTACACGCCCGACGCACTCTGGCCAATGTCTCCTCCGATTACAAGCACTTGACATCGAACAATACGATATCTTTTCAAAACCTTCTTATAATGATACACAGTTTAAATAGAGGTCTCGCTGTACGCAACCCTTACGTTCAAAATATGCCATAATCATATTTTTACATCACGATACCTGTCCGAAAGTTATATATTGCGGATTTACTAATCTCGCGAACTTAGGTAGTCGAGGGGTAATTAGCTCCGGGTCGCACTAGTTTTACGAAGAGACAATGTACTCATATGGCTGGATAAAATCGTACAATAATGGACGTGAAATGGGCATACGAACATCGGCTTGACCACGGCGGCCAACGGCCACAAGAAGCTTTTCAACTAAAAATGATTTGGTCGGGTCGTAGTGGCCTTTGATCTTATGTACATATGCTATTGCTGACAGGTACGAGTTTATGGTAGCAGGAGCAAGGCCCTTGGCACATAAAAAGGAAATGAATAATGCGATACACGCTGTCGAAACAGGCAAATGTAAATCGGCACCCTGATAGCGGGTATAGAATTCAGTAAAGACAACCCAAGCACGTGAGTATTGTTTGCGAGACTGCTCCGACAATGAGGAATGTAGTAATTCCTTTAACGTATCGACCACTTCTGCGGGAGAAGGGTCTCGGGAACAAGAGTTGGCTCTGGGTCGGCATCTGGGAATGCTTTCCTGAAATCTACAATCTGTAAACGAGAAATTAAGTCCGCCCGGGTATTGTCAACACCGGGTATATGATAAGCCCGAAACAAAATATTATGACGTAGTGATGTTAGGACAAGGTCACGGACTAAGATCATGATCATGGGGTGTTTTGAAGTCTGTTTATTGATAATGTCAACCAAAGCCGCATTATCAGTAAACAGAGAGACACATTTATTGCTCATTTGACATGCCCACACGTGGAGCGAGATAGTAATCGGAAAGAGCTCCAAAAATGCAATGTTCAATGATTTCCAATTGGCAGGCCATTCTCCGTAAAACCAATGTTTCCCAAAAAGTGCGCCATAGCCCTTTGAGCCGGCGGCGTCGGTGTAAAGGTTGAGAGGCGGTGAAACCTGCCACGGATCGTCCAGAAAAAATGTACGGCCGTTAAAATCTCTTAAAAATTGAAGCCATACCAATAAATCTCGACGACAGGCTTCAGTAATCCGTATACGATGGCGAGGGAGACGGACACCCTTTGTGAGATCAACAAGCCGCCGAAGAAAGGCCCGACCAGGTAGAACAACTGAACAAGTAAAATTTAATAATCCAATCAAAGATTGAAGTTCTTTCAGGGTAGTTTTACGGCGTCTGTGCATGTCCAATAACTGAGCATTGCATTTTTGAAGCTTATCGTCCGGAAGACGTGCTTCCATATTAATCGTGTCGAGTGTTATCCCAGCAAACTGTAAAGTGGTTGAAGGACCTTCCGTTTTTTCATGTGCTATAGGTACCCCTAAACTATCACATAGGCTCAAAAAGTTGTTTAAATCGGAGGCACATTTGCCTTGAGAGGTAGCAATAAACAAGAAATCATCCAAAATATGCAAAACACCGGAAACACAGAGATAATGTTTAGCAAGCCACTCGAGCGCAGTGCTAAAAGCTTCAAATATAGCGCAAGACGAAGAACAGCCCATGGGCAGACACCGGTCAAAAAAGTACGAATTATTCCATGTCAGACCCAGTAAATGGTAATCGTCAGGGTGAATCGGAATAATGCGGAAAGCTGATTTTATATCGGTCTTGGCCATGTAGCAGCCCCTACCTAACGACTTAATGAGTGTAATAGCATCACCTATTGAAGCATATTGAACCGACGAAAATTGGTCCGGAATGAAATCATTCACCGACGAGCCATCTGGGTATGACAAATGGTGTATAATACGAAATTCCCCTGGGGTTTTCTTTGGAACTACGCCTAAAGGTGAAGAAATAAAATTATCAAAAGGTGGACGAGAAAATGGACCTACAATTCTCCCAGCGCACCATTCTTTCTCAAGTTTAGCAGCTAAAATTTCAGGTTGGTCCTTCGCACTGCGCAAATTTGAAGCAAGACGTAATTGGCTAGTACCAACAAACCCAACGCGAAATCCAAACGAAAAGCCATCAATCAAAAATTGCTTAAGACGAGGGTCGTATTGTTGTAAAAGGGGGCTAAGGGTGGATACTTTTACCGGCGTTACTGGCGGGCTGTTTATTATGCGATGGAGTTGCGATAGTTCTATCTCCGGCTGGTTTGGGAATGTTCGAGGCAGATTGACAGGACGTAGCTGCATGTCTACCACCACATTTGGAGCATTTATGGTCATATCTGCAGCTCGCACAGGGACGACCGGCGTTGAACGTGAAACACACCCCTCTGACCATTGATTGTTTTCCCTGAACCTCGAGTTGGGTTTGTCGGTTGCAACATATCCAGATTTGGCACGAAAAGTCACCGCGCGATGCCATAACTCCCAATGTACCACTCCCCCAAGGGTACGTTTGTGGGTTGCCTTGACGAAGATACCGGAACTGTTCATCGTAATAGTTCCAGTCCCCCACGTGTGGCGATGTCGCGCACTGTTTCGCAAAATTGCATCAAATTTGGCGTCTCTCTGGGGAATTTTTCGCAGTAGACTGCAACAAAAGAGTGGAAGGCCGACACCCACTCGTGAATAGACGTCAATTTCTTCGCATTGTGTACCGGTTCGAATGTAAAATTAGGGGTTTTAGACCCAATTCCGGCGGTGGGAGCGGTGATAGATAATGCGAACTTATCCGGATTAGGGGACATATCTAGAAGAGAGCCAAAGTTGACGAATTCCTCCGCCCAGATCTTATTCTTTAGGCGTGCACTCAAGCGGCTACCTAAGGGTACACCTATACTAGAAAATAAAGGCGCACTGGGTAATATCTCGCTACCTGACGACTCAACGGCCCCAACTGGAGTATTGGTAAGGGACTGCACATCGCGTTGCACTGCGTCGGTGACCAGATTGATTGAACGGGAAGAATTCTGGGCCTCGTTGGTCGACTGTATCGCCGTTTTCACTGCAGCTACAATAGACGAAACCATTGCATCAGAAAGGCCCTCCGATCCCACACCAGATGCAGACGCCTCAACGGCCGCTTGGGAGGGGGGGATTTCGACCGGGTCAGGAACAAATTGGACGTTGACGGTATCATCTGACGGTCCTGCTGTTCGTCGCGATTTCCTTCGTGGCGGCATGCTGATTAATAAGGCCTATAAAACTTAGCTAGAGTTAATTCGGACATGTTATAGGCAAAGTCGGGATTAGACAACAAGGAGAATCAAGGGGGGCAGAATGCATTGTACGCTAATTCAAAAATGCAGGATGCCCATTAACCAGCTACAACAATCGTATGTCATCATATGTGATGGGAGAGCGTCAGTCACGGGCCGATCACATAGGTATCTATAAAGACACATGTAAAAGCGTTAATAGCTGGAGTGAATTGGGCACGTCAACGACGGCCGGATTTGGTTGTCACTCAGGCAACATAACGCAACAAATTCCAAAGACAATGATTGACATAAATCAGGGATGGGCATCACACAGGAATGCACAGAATCCCAAAGCAACTATTAAATTGCAACAAAAGCACATGGACAGGACATAAAAAGACACCAAAAGCCCACTGAACGCAACTCCTTGGCCAAGGCTATGAACTTGCCAAAAATTAAAACTGGTTGGGCGAGAAATTCCTTATGTTTTTATGCGTTTTAAACAATGCAGTACTGCCCCCCTTACACTCCTGTACAGTTTATGCTGCCCTTCTGTATTTAAGTGGACACCATCGTATGACAAGTATGAACGGGAAGCCCGCCAAAATCCCCGATGCGTCCAATATATGGCAAAGGGGAGCGGTTCTAAGACCCCTTGAAGGTACTGCGCCAGGATTTGTACGTTTGCATTGAATGTCCCAACCGGGTGCCTTTTAACGGTCTGACCAACACAAACTAAGCAAACCCCGTACTCATTATGAAGTAAACAGACCAAATCCTCGATGGCAGAGCCAACAGATGCTGGAGAGGACCGACGGCGTGTGAGGTCGTTAGTACCGATTTGTAAAATTACAACATCAGGTTTAAAACGTTCTACTTCGGTTAAATCAAACCGCCTAACCTTATCGATTGTTCGACCCCCAACGCCATGCCAATGAATTGTAACCGGGGTATTAATGTTTAAATTAAGGTTATATGTGGGACTATTCCTAATAATAAAATCCCGGAGCCTACGTATAAAGGAGTGACCCAAAATCAGAACCCTCGGCTGTTCCATACCGACAAAAAAGAAAAACACAAAAGAACTTGCCTGAAAAATTTGAACAGATAACTTGCCACACGATGGTGTAGAGGTAGAAAGGGGCCCTCGTATTTGCGCAACGTACTATAAAGCAATGCTCGATCACATGTTACCTAGTACCCAGTTCACGCAGCCAGTGCTTGATAACAACAGGTATCCCGACGCAAAAATGTAATTATGTTTGGGACATAATTTTTTGTTTATCTATATCGCATCCACCCTTCCCCCTCAACTGCTACCTCTAGGCTTAAAAAACATATCGAACGCACTCTCCTAAGCTCCAATTACTCCTACTTTATTATTTATCGTACTGCCGGGAGAGGTTTACTACCGGTTGGTATGTTTTTGATTTGAAGTCGTTCACGTCGCTGACATGCGCTGGGTTACTTATGCAAGTGCTTCATAATGTTTGCGACGCGGACAACTTCAGTTCTAACTTTGTACAATTTTGCCAAAAGCCATGCTGGAAAGAAACCTCCGTTAGCAGGGTATACATACATACACTGTTTGCAGGAAGCAATAGAGAGGAGAACTCGTTAAGTCACGTTGCCATGGCAGCAAAATTTTGGGGTGACAACAAACCAAAAAAATCACTTAAAAAATAGGCAGTCTATGACCGCACGTGGCTTACGGTATAGCTTTACCTAACACTGACTTAAATAAGAGACGACTTCTGACATTTGTAGACTTCATACTATAAGCTTAATCAACATTGAATTAACCACAAGGAAACCAGGGTAGAACAAATAGTCGGCAAAAATTTGTGGGTATGCAGTCTGCAAGTGTAACATAGTGATACAGGAGCGCATGTCCCGCTTGATATATTAGGCTGATTTAGCAACAGAACGGGAAGGTCAGTTGACTACGAAGAAGCGCGCGGAAAGGACTAAACGCTACTTCCGGTGCCCAATTTGCCGCTCTGCGATTGGTCAAGCTAGTTGTTTGATTTGCGCGCGCCTTCGTCAACTGACGTTCCCGTTCTGTTGCTAAATCAGCCTAGATAAGTCAGAAAATAACAAAGATCGAGTAGAGTTAAATCCAACGTTATTAAAGTTTCTATTTAGGTTGCTTGTAACAATACTGTGCATTTCATACTTTAAGGTTTGTATTATACCGGGTGTCCCAAAAGTTCGTTCCTCTACTTTATAAGTCTGTATTTCAGAACGATTGGACTTGGAAAGCAAATCATTTCAACAAAAAGTTGTGTCTTTCAATATAATTCACTATTTTCATACTTATTGTACCATCTTTTGACTCGAATTTTCGATTGTGTACTTCCGCTCCCAAGGTGCGCGTGCGCGAGTATATTTTCTAGCCACACATTTTTTGTATTTCACAGCCCGAATCGCTCGAACTCCTTCCTTGTTTTTTTGTGAATATCACGAAAGATAAACCCCATTAACGCAAAAACGTTCAGCTGCGTGAGAGAAGAAGCCTGTATACTTCGATTTACTGGCTTATCTGTTGTAGAAATTGCTTAAAAACTGGAAAAATCCGAATGTTGGGTGGTAGAATGCATGATCATGGAGAAATGAAGGTTTTAAAGGCAAGAAACTAAGGGGAAGACCAAAAGCCCTGAATAAAGCAGCTAAAATAGTTTTAAAGAAGGCTAGATACAAAATAGGAGACTCGACAAGGAAGCTCAGTCTCACATAGTTAGCAAGCCAAATAAAAGGGTCATGAAACGCTGTTTGAAATGTTTAAAATTAGAGGCCCCTGAGATGGCAAAAAAACCTCTGCTTAGTCTGTCTGTTAACGCCCAGCTCGTTTCAAATTTGTAAAGAATTACAAAAGGCTTGCTGTGGAAGGGGGCCGGGATGATAATCGTTTTTGGATGAATGCCCAAAATAAATTTTTTTCAGCTTCCTAAACTAAACAAATATTGTTTGGGGGTTGAACTGGATCCTGCGTACCAGGTGATAAAAAAGCTCAAAATGGATCATCTGTGGGTCTACACGCTTTATCGCACTTCATGCCGCAACGGCTACAGAATATGATAAAAAAAAAACAAAAAAAACAAAAGGGAATGCCAGTTACTGAAATTCTGAACACATGTACTTGATAGAGAAATAAACATCTTCTAGAAATTTCCTGTAAAAATAAAGTTTTGATCAAAAGTTATAATGCGTGAAATTAGAGGAACGAACTTTTGGGACACCCTGTATGTAAATCGTCTATGTATCGTGACTTGCTTTACATGTTGTAGTTTACCTTCCGGTGTTGAAAGTTTTAGTTGTTGAACTTTGAACTTTAATCATAGGGAACCAAGATCAGGGTGTGAGCTAGCGAGATTAAACTGTTTTCAATTTAACGTATTTTGAGTTCTTTTATTTGTCGGTGTTACCGATTCCCGACAAAAAGTGGCGACACTGCCAGGATTTATTCTCAAAGGAATCGTAACCCGGAGTTCAGTTGCACGCGAATAACACAACACAGCGAACAGACCACCTTTGTAAAGAGCATGACGGAGCTTGAACAAGCTATGTAAAAGATCGACTCTAAATTTAGACTGTGAGCAGTCTCTTATTTTTCTTAGAAAAGTTACTGCACGTAAACCTATGCACGTCGTAGTTTGCAATCGCGCTGGATGAGATAAGAACTAGACGGATTTTAAGAAAAGGCGGACTGCAAGCAGTTTACTCTAAATTACGGCTGTTGGAATTTACGCGAGATGACGCACCCAGAATCCAAAGGAAAAAACGAGTTGAAGGCGGAAGAGCGATTGCAAAAAGCCCTGGAGCAACAGATCGACAGCGTTCACGAACAGATGGTAGAAATTCAAGCGTTGAAAATAGACAATTGCCTTTTTTAAAAGAGAAAACACCTTTCAGGCGACGGCGTCAATGGAGAGCACATGGCAATTCGAAGATTTCTCGTGTGATCACGTGCTAATTCCGAGTAACATTCGAAGCAATTGGAAGCTATCCTCGACCAAGGTTGAACAACCGACGATGTTCCGAAACAAAAAGGGGCTAAGATAAGGGAATATCGGATAGAATTCGGCAGAGTTCGTTAGTGGCCTTGGATTCTATTGTTACCTTCATTCAACGCGATAGCATTATGGCTAGCCTCCCACACAGGCGTTGTTCCCCTAAAAGCGCCTGCGCGGGAGGCTACATTCTCTACGCTAGTAATAGTTCACACTACAACTACCCCTGCTCTGTATATTGTCGGTCAATAGTATTCTTGCTCGTTGTATAGCTCTTTGAAATATACCGATTCATAATGAAGATTTTCACACATATTCCATAAAATAGGTGAGATAAATACAGGAAACGCAAGGTTCCATGCACAGTTTCAGGTCGATTTACACAGCTTTGATCAAAACATTCTCAGTTTCGAGAATAGTTTATTCTAAACCATAAGAAAAGATTTAAGGAGAAGTTGAACTTCTCGCTATTTCTCTTTCACTTTTTACATTTAGTTCATTTTATTTACCGGAAAGGAAGCCTTAGACATTAAAAGGACGTTTGATCTATTCACACTCGCGCATTCTAGTCTTATTTCAAACTTTATAGCGGAAGGACATCTGTGAGCAGGGAATAAGTCAGCATAGAATTTGCTTGTTGGCGAATTTCTGTAAATGTCTATCAATCTGCTAGTGATAAGCTAGCCGTTGTTCACTCGTCTTGTTTGTTTGGGGCTGAGTCTTATTGCGGTCAAAGAGAGAGAAAGAGTGTCTGGCAAGGTTTCCAATATAAATCAAAGATTTGTGAACTCGTGTCTGGCAAACTCTCCAAGTGTTTATATATACACAGTTATACGCACCTTATAAGTTCTTCTGCGCTGAACGAGTGTCGTTAAAATTTTGGTCCATAACTTTCACTGAAACAACTGCTCCACAGAATGTCACTGATAACACGTAACGCAAAAGGGTGTTGAAGTGTGACTGCACAATAAA